CTGGATATTCGTGTATCACGAACACCGAACTGGAACAGTCGAAAGTACTCGACGGCTACGCTCCAACCGCTTTCCTTAGCCGGAGCCGCTGTAAGCACAGCACGACGACGTTCCGTAAGCTCCTCGATCTCCACTCGGAGTTTCTTGTTGCGTTCGTCGAGGCTGTTGGCGTAGTCGTCTTTCTTCTTCCTGTATCGAATTTGCCTCACTCGACGCAGTTCCCGTAGACGCAATTTGTCGGCGATGATCAAGTCGACCATGACTTTGAGTTGGCCATCATGTGCCATTGACTCAGCAAGCGCGCTAGTATCCGGCCTATGAAGCTTCTCCTTCAGTGCAGAAAGCATGTCATTGGTATCTTGGTGCTTCCCCCAACGTCCTGCTGCAATGTTTCTTGAAGGTATTCCCGTTTCTTCACATTCATGAGTCTGGGTGTGCCATTGCTCTAGTCGAGGACGCTGCAATGGCGGAGGAACGGTGTCCATGGCCATGATGCCGTTAATACCGACGTATACACACCGTGATCTTTTAGAGCGTTGCTGCACGACGTCGCTGATCACATTGTCGCTAAGTTGCTGACTATTCGGCGGGTGAAGAGCACTAACTTCCATTAGAGTTGAACGGTAGAGAAATACGGTGCTGCTTTCTGGGCCGACGAAGGAGAAATGAAGTCTGCGGCGCTACTATATCTCAATGTGTCGCTGTGACTGGAATGGTGCTGGTAGAAAGGGACAGCTGCATCTCGCAATCACGGATTGTGAGAATTCCGGATAACGCTTCAGGGATTGCGTGGCGGAATGTGAAAATTAGTCTTGTAAATACAGTGTATCATACTAATCATTACGTAATTCTGTATTTACACTATCAGTATTTTTGCTTTACTCAAATGGAACTTTGATAACTGCAGAGCTGCTACTAGACTTCAACTGTGCCGACGTCTACAGTATACTGTATATCAAAAACGGGCAAGCCACAGCGAGGTCGCGACTCCTACAAAGGAACCTATCTGTATGGTTTACAATGAAGCGTGCTATATATCATGCGCAGTAGAAGGAATCCTATTCGAGAAAACATGCTGGAAAGACGTATAATAAACAATACTGCATATTGTTACGTACCGTAAGCGTGAAAATTACTGCTTGGACCAACCAGTACAACAGATCAACAACGAAGTTCAATTCGAACGTACAATGCATTACACCCTCTGCTCAGCAATCATAGCATCCATACATACGTGTACAAGAACTACGCCTTCACGCGCTCAAAGGGTTTGTATGTTTTTAATACAACAAGGAACATCAAATAGACCCACAAGATATCCCAATTCAAACGCGATGCGCACTAGCACCGAGTAAAGAGCTACGTATATGAAGGGATCAATGCAATGGATACAATGTTCTTAAATCAGAAAATCAAAGACCGTGATTTCATGAGATTCAGCAGTTTCTTTTGTGGAAGTCCATGTTTAGTCCCAAGAAATGCATGCAGTAAACATTTTTTTGTGTGTGACAGTATTATATCGTAAAAGCTGATTGCATTCGATAAATCGTATCGAATAAAGGATGAACCTACCTGGCAAGCGAAGAGAAGCTTTGGTGAGCGACAACATCGGCTCGCAAACTCTGATTGCATTGATGAAGAGCAACGTGCCAAATCGATGCGGCAAAGAGAGAAAGGTGGGACCAATAAAGACTGCCAGGTTACTAGACGTGGACAAATGGCATAGACACGTGAATGTATTGATATAATCCAATTAATAGCAGAGTATGCATACTGGCAACCTTGCACAACTCGACTTTCTGACCGAAGGTCAGACGAACGATTTCGCTCTTGGGTTTGCTTGGTGGTATGATGGCAGGTCTTCAAGTAAGTCGTGGTGACAGCCGTCCAGGACATAACTGCAATGCATTATGTTCACTGACAGCCGTCATTTACCTCTGGTATTTGGAAACTCGTGCATGCATGCAACGCGACACTTTCCTGCATAAGATAAGCTAACTCAGTACATTGAAAAACAGCTGAAGCAAATCCACGGCACACTCGTACTATCTGTGCGAGGTAAATGGCTGGGGACAGTTCTCTCTTTGCCGGGGAAATCTGTTGGACCTACAGTGTAGGTAGGTAGGTACACGGTTTGTGTACAGATGGTTCAACGCCGTCTTTACCGAATGCACACTACTGGCGTCGGCTGACCACTCTAACAGGCGGATTACGATATTGTACGCATCGTGTGCAAATTGAGTCGACAATCGACCGTACAGTCTTGAGCTAACCCTTTCTTGCAGCAAAGCTTTTCTTTTTTTTTCTTAAATAAATAAAACAACAACTTTAAAGTAGCTCGACCAAGTGAAAACATAGAGTAAGTACATGCATTGATCTCCACCAGATCACAGCGAGCTGTCTACAATTGCTACGTGAGCTGTGGCAGTGATAGCCAAGGCAGGTAAACCGGATGTAACTAAGCTTGCAGTTACTAATACCGTTACAGTAATTTTCTATTGCTTCATCTTATGGAAAATGTTTACTACGCAATACGATTCTCACGAAATACTGCGTTAGTTGACCTCCAATGAGTGCACACTACGTACTCATGTGCTTTACCATATCTTCTTAACAGTACAATCGACGGTTCACTGAATGCAGTGCAGCTAACAAGAACACCATAGCGGCGTTCAAGTTTCTGTGCGCGGGTCAACCTGACATTTGCCAAAGTTGTCCAGAGTGAAAACATCGGTGCCAGAATGCCATGGCGCACTCCCCTAGCCGAATCACGTTGATCATCGTCGCTGCGTGAGTTGTTGTCGGTAAGAGATTGTGTATTCCCTCGCTTCTGTCCGCATTAATGCGGGAATACCGCGTTTCGTTTTAGTAGAACTCATCGCCATGGGGCGACGATAGAATCAACGGCATTCTTCTTAGGATGCCTTCGTGTTATTTCTAAGGTGAGGCCTTAAAATACACTAGCATATATCGTTGGTTATGCTGGATACATTCATTCGGGAAATATGTAGTGACCTTTGTAGATCATCACCGTGAACATCATTATGCGAAGTGTATTTACATTGCGACCTGGAAATTCGGTGCAACGAAGGCTCCTTGGAACACTCTAGCTGTGTCTTCCAGATTCCCGAGTATACACAGCATCGGAGTCAACATATCTGACTGACTCATGACTCTCGAAATGCGGTGGCAGGTATTGTCCCACTCAAAGTGCATTGAGCCACGCAGAGTAATTTTTTGCCCCAGCAGTTTATCAGCTAATAAGCCACAAGACTCGTTCCCGTCGCTGTCGGTTAGGTGAGGAAACACGTCACGAATAGTCTGCATTGAGATGGAAATAGTCGTCACCGTTGTAGCAGTCAGAGTTCCCGTTGACTCCTTGTGTAGTTGCACGAGTTCCATTTCGACGCTTGGGAACCAGCGCGACATTTGCTGCCAGTATTGCACCAACTTGTCCACTCCGTATAAAGAGTTAAATGCCACACCAGCAGTAAATGACGCCCGAAGGAGCAATTGAGCATCGAACCGGTCCTCGTGCATGCCACAGCGAAAGAGTCGAAAGTACTCGGCTACGACACTCCACGCATTCATCTCAGCTGGGACGTCTGCAGACACAGAACGTCGACACTGCTCAAGCTTCTCGATCTTGTGACGTAGTTTACCGACCTCCTCTTCAAGACTGAGCGCGTAGCCTTCCTTTTTCTTCCGGTACCGGATCTGTCGCATTCGACGCAGCTCTCGTAGTCGCAATTTCTCCGAGATCGCGAGCTGTGCCATGGCAAGAAATTGGTCTTGAGTTGTCGGGAATTTCGTCGACGTGTTCAAGCAGGAGAGC